GAAGTAGGCTGAGCCTGCAAATATTTTTGAAATTAAAAGCAAAATAAGGACAAACGTCAATTAGTTGACAGTTTTGTTGTCTGTTGAAACCTGAAACGTTTTTTTGCAATTATGAATGCACGAAATTTTGTTTCTGTGACCTGTGTTTTATAAAAATGCCATTGTTATTCTCCAATCAAGAGTTAGCGGATATTCATTTTGTGTATGGCTTTGTAAATGGAAACTCAGCAGAAGCAGCCAGAGAATACGCACGAAGATTTCCAAACAGACGACATCCAACTCGCTCAGTATTTGTAAGAGTGCATCGCCAAATAATTGAAAATGGTTTTGGAAATATCCAAAGGGATCAAAACATAAATGTTCGTCAGCGCAGATTTACCCGTATGATTCTGCGTGAGTTTGATAGAGATCCGACCAAAAGTGTTAGGAGAGTTTCTGGTGCCTTGGAAATTTCAGCAAGCCACTGTGTTCTTAGAAATGACCGTAGACGTCCTTACCATTTGCAACCTGTGCAAGGACTACAGCCAGGGGACGGAGAACGAAAAATCACATTTGGTCAGTGGATTCTTGATAGAACTGATAATAATAGGGAGTTTTTAAGTAACATTTTATGGACCGATGAGTCATGCTTCACTAGACGTGGAGTGGTAAATTTTCATAATCAACATATTTGGTCGCTTGAAAATCCGCATGCAGTTCGGGAAAGAAATTTTCAGCATGAATTTAGTGTGAACGTGTGGATTGGTATCTACCGTAATCGACTATTTGGACCCTACCTTTTGCCTGCAAGGTTAAATGCTGCGACCTTCTTGGAATTTTTATAGGCTGAGCATGCAAGTATGTGGGATGACGTTATGTTAGATTTAAGAAGATTGGCCTGGTTCTAGTTTGATGGTTGTCCAGCTCATTATTCGAGAATAGTTAGAAACTGGCTGGACGAACATTATCCAGAAAGATGGATCGGCCGTGGAGGACCAGGCGCCTGGCCTCCACGATCCCCTGACCTATATCCATTAGATTTCTTTGTGTGGGGATTTCTAAAAGAAAAAGTGTACCAGACTCCCGTAACCACAAGAGATATTCTAATAGACAGAATCAGGAATGCATTTGAATAATGCTATACCACGTTCGATCATTCGTAGATGTGAATTGTGTATTGAACAATTGGGTTTACATTTCGAGCAACTACTTTAGATTTTGTATGTTTGTCCTAACTATCCAATAGCATTTTAGTTGTAAATAATTAATTTAATTTGTTAAAAATAGTATTGGAAAATAAAACAATATAATATTGTTTTTTGTGTTTATTTGGAGTTAGGAATTATTGCTGTGTTTAGAAACACAATCTAAACGATCACCTTAATTACTTGTAATGCCCAAATCGAAAATGTAAAAAAAAATTTTTATTTTCCCATAAATCATTAAAAATGCATCGAACCTGAAAAATCGAAATATCTCAAAAACGGCTAACTATAACGAACATTCACAAGAGAGCTTTTTTATGTTGAAAGGTGCGAAGAATCAGTTTTTTTGTTCGAAAAGCAAAAAATTGCACTACGAAAAAATTTTCGGTCATTTTAATACACTACAGGTACAGTAGAGAGCGCCCTCTAGCGGCTACAGTAAAACTATGGTTCATTTTGTCGTACCAAAAAACCCTTATATACCAATTTTCACTGTTATACATCAAATACTGTTCGAAATATTTAAAAAAAAAACTATTTTAGAAAGTAAATTTAAACACCCTGTATTTCGGAAGCCACGCATTTTTTGACCCATGTTTATATAGACTTTATGCATTAATTTTAAAAGTTCTATCGAATCTTAAAGTTATGCAACAATAAACTGAAACACCCTGTATGTTCATATACAACTGGTTTTGCAACTTGTTTTGTATTTTCTTTTGTGGGAATAAAGACATTATTATTATTATTATTAAAGAATCATTGTTGGTAACAGTTTTCAGGTATCCACTTCCTGACACATTCATTAGGGTACCAACAAAATGAAAGCTCTTTTTCTCAAACGCATATCATCTGATTGTGCTTGAGCAATGTCGAAATAATTGTGAATAAAGTTTTATGTGACCAGAAACCGAGCAACCCGTGCCGAGTTGCATTGGAACATGTCAAAACTTGCACATCATGCTCGAGCTAGCTAACGTATTGCAGTGCTCGTATGTTCTACTAGTAAACGCACTGTTTTCGTTCAGTCAACATGTCCAAGGAATCATTCACTTCTAAAAAGAGAATATTTTTCAAAGGGGATGTAGAGCATCAAATAACCGGTTCAAAACTCCCCTCTAAAGGGCAAGTACTAGCATTTAGCCTTTGCTGTAGGTATAACAGGAGCCTGTATACAGGGTGGCCCATCCATGTGTGGACAGCATATTACTCATAAACATTTTGGGAAATCTATTTATTTGATGATATACATGACAGTTAAGGGCACATTTCTAAAATATTGGCCATTATACAGGGAATCCCAATTTGGACTTACATGTCAAAGTTGTGATTTTTCAAATGGAATACCTCAAATTTTATTGCATATTTGTATAAACCAATTCAAAAGAAGAAATTATGTGTATTAAATATGGTGGAGATATTTTCGAACAGTTTTTGTAGATTACGTCTTGATTAGTGATAGTTGTTTGTTTATGTTGTTGTTATAGTTGTTTTTCACTATTACGCTTGAAGCTGATTCATACTGTTCTGATTGTTATTAGTTTTTACGTCAAATCTATACTCTTAGTGGCAATATGGATCTAGCTCACTGTTTTTCTTTTGTTTCCATGGTTGCTGTGATCTTTTCCTTTAATTTTGGTGTATTGTTCTATTAAAAGCTTAATAACTCAAATTCTAGTGATTTTATCTGATTCAAACCTCGTAACAAAAAAAAGGTTATAAAAAAATTGAATCCAAACTTGCACAAACATATGGGGTGATGCATTTGAAATTTTTTAGAAAAAGTAGAATTTGCGTTTTTGAACCCTGTATGAGCAAAAATGAAAATTCGAAAAAGTAACAAATAAGATAAAAGCTGAGGTGTGTAGGTTTTTTTTGACACAAAATTCAGCACTCCAAATTTCAAAATGGCGGATTGAGGGGTTTTTCTGGACAAAACACCTTACATCTCAGTAGCTAATTACCAAAACCCCATAGTATGTTATATCAATCTAGTTATTTTGAATTGGTTTATCCTAATATGCAATAAAATTTGAGGCATTCCATTTAAGAAATCACAACTTTGATATGTAGGTCAAAATTGGTACACCCTGTATAATTGTCAATATTTTATAAATGTGCCCTCAAACGTTATGTATAACATGCCATTTTTAGATTTTCTCAAAATGTCTTTGTTTATGAGTAATATTTCGTCCACACATGGATGGGCCACCCTGTAGATAAACGAATCTGAGGCACACTGTATACGTTTTTTACGTAATAATCCTGGTCGTGTGCGCGATCCTCTATGAAAAACATTCCAACTTAAACTCCATCCAGTTCCTTTTCAGCAGGTTAAGACCATTTCTTCGAAAAGCGGCAACTCACAATACCTTAATTTAGAGTTGCTCGATCTGGTATCGACTTATAGGCATCCTATTCTACGCGTGGAGGCTTAGCTGAAAGCTGGAGGATTACTGTTCCGTGTGTGATACAATATTAATGGCACGGTGGTGGATTCGCATGCGACTGGGAACCTCGCTCCCAGTGTTGCCAGAATTTATGATCGAAGTGTACTAGCCTTGAGCCGAAAAATGTACTAGATTATAATAAATTGTACTAGATTCAGTTTAAGCTGCTGCTCACACTATTTACTATTTTTAATATAAAATACATGTGAGGATAAATAGGAAATAACAGGCAAAATAATATTATATATATATATATATATTTAAAAACTGAATATAAAACAAAAAACAATATAAAAACTAGATCTAAGGAATCATATACCTAAAACTAATAAAATAAGTAAACATAATAAAAATCAAATTAAAATCTTTGGTATTCTTAGGAACTAAACAGAACAACCATTTTTTATACATATAATAATAATAATATATGTACACAGAACACAGAATGTTCGAAGGTACACAAGGTATTTTTTGGGGATGATTGACATTTTGACACACCACACGAAGTGTCATAATTTATTTGTAAACAATCTGTCTACGACAAAGAGACTGTGACGGTTCCCAAGAATAACAGAAGCATTCTCCTAAATTTCTTTTTGCATGTAAAATATCATTAAGTGTTTCTATCGTCAATCTATTTCTTAATTTTGTTTTTAACAAAGCCACTGTTTCATGTTTACTAGTCTGAACTAAAGTTGTTATTGAAAAATTCGAAAGTCGTACTAGATTTTCAACAAAACGTACTAGCGTACAAAATCATGTTAAAATGTACTAGATCTAGTACATTTGTACTAGACTGGCAACACTGCTCGCTCCTATTTATTTTCCAAGCACCAGCGACGCGAGCAGTTTTGAACTGTCACTTGCGTTTATGGTACGGTCGACCTGCATAATGTTCGACCCCATCATCACCCTTCAATCCGTATAAAACGATTTCAAAAATAACAGGAACAAAGAAAACATTTTAAATGTGTGCGATAAAAGATTGTGATGGCTTGCTCATAGCAGATCTGCAGCAGAAATTGGTCAGATGGACACAGTGACGATGAAGACATGAAGGAACTCTGTGCCTTAGAGGTAAACGATCGTAACTCTATTTTTGCAGTTTTTGTGATTATCTGCGTATAATTAGTATCCCTGGTTAATCTTTACGTGGAGTAAATGATCGTAGCACCTAACTACGATAATCATGAAATAAATGAAATATCATATGAATCATCGCTACGCAGCGGTAAACAGTCGTGTCTCGGTCGCGCACCGCTTACTTTACAAACTGTGTGGTTCAATCATTCTTCAAAGTTGATCAAGGTGCTTAAGTAACCGAAAAACGGTAATAATGTCCTCAAGGACTCAAATATTAGTGCAGCTTGCACTGGAGGAAGAAATCGATTCTCGAGAATCTAGTAAGTACAACATAATTGATATTATAGGTGTCTGAGCCAAAACAGAAACATTATGATGATCGTAAACTACTTGCACATATTACAAATAATGAGTCCTTCATTAAAGTGTATCATTCACAAGTTTCTTCTACGTGGACACACACACATAGAAGCTGATCATATCCATGCACTTATCGAACGAGTTATAAAAAAACAACCAACCATGAAAATATGTACGCCATGGGAGTGGCAGCAACTGATAAGATCAAACCGGAGCCACAGTTTACGAGATGCAGTTAGATGACTTCAAGAACTTCGAGGCCTTATATTCCGGCACAGGATCATCATTCAAAAGAAACAGACAGTAGACAAAGAAAGCTTTTGGTGTCATCAGCGGTGTGGCTTGAGGTACGAAAACAGGATCCAGGGATACTCTACTATAAACAGACATACTCCAAGAGGACTACAAGATGGTAAACATGAATAGATTCTCTAGAAAACCGATAGGGTTACCACTAGAACTATGTTCGCCGCGTCAAACCCCAAAAGGACTTAGCAAGAAAAAGCACGGTCATCTTATTCTTCTGCAATGGATACCAGAAGCATTTCATGATTTTTATAAAAATATTCCCGTGCTGGGTCAACAAGGAGATGGAGACGACGACGATTGAATATTTATATTCTCCAGATGTCATTTTTTGTAATAATAAAATGTAGCCTATTTCCACCAATTGTACTTACTGTGTTTAATCCTGTGCTGCACCTGGATTTTATTATGATAGTAAATAGTCGTAACTCACAAAATATACTAAGTGACATATAAATCCGAACACCCAGTTTAAATGGTTTTATTTTAATAAAAGTTGGTGAATGTATTTATCTTACTGTAAATAACAAGTGAAAAAATTTTCAGCCTTATCAGTTGGACATTCCGGTTTTTATACTGCTTTTTTTTTAATTCACTAACGCTCTAAAAATGAATATTTCAGCCGCAGTAAAGAATCAACGTTAGCGGATTTTGGTTCTTGACATCCTTTACGATCGGTTACGATGCCTAGAGTACGGAGACCTGTACGATTTCGTCAACTTAGTGAGTTTGATAGGGGCCGTATAGTGGGACTTCGGGAAGCTGGACTTTCTTTTCGGGCAATTGCAGTTAGAGTGCAAAGAAGTGTAGACACTGTGGTTAGGTGTTGTCAGGCATGGCTTCGAGAAGGCCGTACGCAAAGAGCAAGGGGCACTGGACGCCGCCGTAGAACAACAGACCGTGAAGATCGCCGCCTAAGATTATTGGCCTTAAGGGACCGTTTCTCCACTACCAGGTCCATTGCAAATGAATGGTTTGCAGAACACGGAAGACCTATTGGCATGCGAAGTGTTTACCGACGAATGAAAAGTTTTGGCTTGTTTTCATACCGGCCACTCTGGGTGCAGACAACGGTCACTCTGGGATCAGGAATGGAACAGTATTGTCTTTAGTGACGAGTCTCGATTTTGTTTAGGCATGCACGATGGTCCTGCCAGGGTTAGAAGGCGACGTGGTGAAAGGAGGAATCCACAGTTTTTTGTTGAAAGACATGTTCATCACACTGCTGGAGTTATGGTTTGGGGTGCTATAGCTTATGGTTCCAGGTCACCTTTAATCTTCATCAGAGGTAACATGAACGCGCGTTATATCCACGAAGTTCTAGAACCCCATCTTTTACCCTATATTGACACCCTGGCAGATCCAACTTTCCAACAAGATAATGCCCGACCACATGTTGCAAGAGTCACAATAGACTTCTTTCAACATAATGATGTCACATTGTTACCATGGCCACCAAGATCTCCCGACTTATCCCCAATTGAGCACGTATGGGATATGATGGGTAGGAGATTGCTCAATTTGCAACGTCCTCCTCAGACTCTAGAAGCACTTCGAGAGGAGTTGGTGGTTGCCTGGAATGAGATACCACAGGAGGACATTGACCACCTGATCAGAAGCATGCCTAGGCGCGTTGGAGAATGCGTAGCACATCAGGGCGCATCCACACATTATTAAAGGTCAAAGGGCTTTAAAGCAGTGCAATCATTTTGAAATTTTTATCATTTACTTATTATGCTTCATTAAGTACTTATACAGAATTTTATTAAAATAAAACCATTTAAACTGGGTGTTCGGATTTATGTGTCACTTAGTATATTTTAAGGTTCTTAGTATATAGTAAAAATATTGCACTGATTTTCCACCCTGTACTATATCTATAAAGTAGAAACAAGAACATCCCTCTCGATGCATTTTCTACAGGCAACAGCTGGAAACGTTTAATCATTGCAATTAGAATGCTAATGAACATGATCTATTTTTGTATGTTTTCTCAATAAGTATTATACAGGCTCAATTCCTAATACAGCTAAACTACCTACCCAAAGGAAGAGAGCTTTATAGAGCGACCGCAAATCTTAGCAATAAGCGTAGGAGAGTCTAGATCCAGTATATAAACATATACGAGGTGGTCGGCAAATCAGATTTATGATTCTTCAACATCGAATCGTAGGCAAGTTTTGCAGCCAATTTAAAATCAATGGTTATAACGGTTATAACCCAAGTGTACACATTCTCCGTATAGCTTTCGTGTGGACATGTATGTCTCACCTATCCCCTAAGTCTCATCAAAACACTTGGTCAAGGCTAGAGTGAAGTTCGAGCTTCTTGTATGTTTTACTTAAAATACTAAAGTATATGATAGCAACATCCAAAGGTGGCGACAAGTCGGGAATCTAAACATCAAGTTAGTCGGTTTTACTAAAACAAAAAAATGGCGTCAAGTTGGTTGACTATGCGCTCCCTACGCAACGCTGTCATTAGTTCATGAAGGAGTAATCTCAGCCCAGTTTAAATCCTCTCAGAAAAACAACAGAGAAATTAAACGGAAGTCAGTCAAACAGGCCCATACAATTAGTCCGTAGACATTTTTTCCTGCCCTACCGGTAGTTACTGTCATTTGTTCATTTTGTACATGGTCCTTGTTATTTTCAAGACTCTGAAACATCAAAAAACGAACTCTCTGGCTTAGGAAGTAGAAAGGCCTTGTGCTTTATAAGATTTGATTTGGTTCCTAAAATTCATCTTGACGTATCACACCCTGTACACTGTATGAGTAATAGCCTTTCTTCATAAACTGAATCACTAATAAGCATGTGAGATGAGTTGAATATGAAGCATGTAATTGAAATAATCGATACTGTCAATATATGGAATTAATAGCAGTTTAAGCCCAAGGAAAATTCAAATTGCTTGCATAAACTGTATTTGAATATTTAAAGTACATATACATGTATTATTCACACATAGTTTCCGCGAACTTAACGTCTGCATGTAGCTGTCGATATTTATATTGGGGTCTGTTATTTAATAGTAAATAATCAGTTGAAATACCAGACCATGCGGTGCTATTTTGTGCATTGAGCTTAGCATGCACATTTTTCAGATTACGATGAGTTCGAATGTTTTTGTATTCAAGTTTTAGTATGACACGCTTCTAATATGACAAGTTGTAGACACGTATGTAGAATGAGTTCTTAGTGTGGGCTTGGTCGAAATTGTAGTCAGCATTATTCATAACTAAGCGGTGATCCATACTTGCATTTTTTCAAATGAAATAAATTTTATTACAGATTTGGATAGGTTCATCCAAACGAAGCAATTTGATGTATAGTGTTTTGTACTAAATGACACAGAAAATGCAACACCGACTAGCAGTGCTGTAATTTTGAGCATACTTTTACAAGTTTTAAAAAAAAGCTTGTAAACAGGGGAATAAAAAGGCGTGAAAATATACAGAATGTTCCATATGAAAAATAATCGAAAGGTGAAAAATATGCGATCATAAAATTTTTTGACGAAAAATTTATTACTCTAGTTGCGGAGGTACGGGTTGTCAAAGCTAAGTGTTATTTTTTTCGATAGTTTGTCCAATATATCTACAATTGAAGGCTGTTAGATTTAATATTATCAAATGAAGCTTGTTCTGTTTCTCGTGATACTTTGCCACTGGTACCTGAAGATATCCCCCATCATCCAGCTTTTGATATGTGTTTTGAAAATATTAATGTTAACCCTTACGCATTTCCCTTATTAAGCGATATTAACATGTATAATTTCCGAAAAGCAAATTTTACAGAGCTGTATAATGCTCTCCTCATTGCAGACTTGTTTCGATAACTTCTTAGACGTTAACTTAGCTATTGCTGTATTTTATAAATTTTTATACTCTCTCTTTGATATTTACGTAGCCAAATATAAATGTTTTAGTCATAAGTACCCTCGGTGGTACATGAGCGAAATTATTAATAAAGTCAAGCATAAAGCAAAGTTGTACAAGAAGTACAAAAAGAGTCATCAAATACCTGTGGCCTATAAAAATTATACACGTAATGTTGAGATTTCCATCTCTCAAGTCCTAAAAATTTTTTGAGTTTCATGCATGCAAAAAATCGACCTACTAGGATTCCTGGTAAAATGAAGTTGAATGACGTCTCGATGAACGATCATTACTGTGCTGTCAATGCATTTGCTGATTTTAGATAGAATTTACTCCGCAGTTCATAGATCTCTGTCCCCTTTTCAGCACGGTTTTCTTACTAAGAGATCTACAGTAACTAATTTAAAAATCTTCACTCAGTTCGCTATTGAATGTGTCGATCGGCAAGGTCATCTAGATGTAGTATATACCGATTTTGCTAAAGCGTTCGATAGGGTGGACCATGGCATACTTTTGAATGAACTTTTTTATTATGAATTCAATTCATCAGTTTTAGCACTCATTCAAAGTTATCTTCATGAAAGGAAGCAATATGTTACCTTTAATCGATTCAAGTCATACCAGTATATATACTAAGTGACATATAAATCCGAACACCCAGTTTAAATGGTTTTATTTTAATAAAAGTTGGTGAATGTATTTATCTTACTGTAAATAACAAGTGAAAAAATTTTCAGCCTTATCAGTTGGACATTCCGGTTTTTATACTGCTTTTTTTAATTCACTAACGCTCTAAAAATGAATATTTCAGCCGCAGTAAAGAATCAACGTTGGCGGATTTTGGTTCTTGACATCCTTTACGATCGGTTACGATGCCTAGAGTATGGAGACCTGTACGATTTCGTCAACTTAGTGAGTTTGATAGGGGCCGTATAGTGGGACTTCGGGAAGCTGGACTTTCTTTTCGGGAAATTGCAGTTAGAGTGCAAAGAAGTGTAGAGACTGTGGTTAGGTATTGTCAGGCATGGCTTCGAGAAGGCCGTACGCAAAGAGCAATGGGCACTGGACGCCGCCGTAGAACAACAGACCGTGAAGATCGCCGCCTAAGATTATTGGCCTTAAGGGACCGTTTCTCCACTACCAGGTCCATTGCAAATGAATGGTTTGCAGAACACGGAAGACCTATTGGCATGCGAAGTGTTTACCGACGAATGAGAAGTTTTGGCTTGTTTTCATACCGGCCACACTGGGTCCTCCCTTTAACTCGAGAACACCGGCGTAATCGCCTTGAGTGGTGCAGACAACGGTCACTCTGGGATCAGGAATGGAACAGTATTGTCTTTACTGACGAGTCTCGATTTT